AAATGCTCGAGGTAGGTATGATCAATCATAACAAGCACAAGATGACATTTAAGATATAAGTACTATGCTAGTTGTAAGTACTCACATCAAGTGACATGTAGGAATACATGTAACTTGATTTCAAAGCATAATCACACGAGGTGAAGTGAACATATGTGAAAACAAGCAAAATCTATGCAATACACAATCACACTATATGAAGTGATCAGTGAACATAGAGATGGTATGTCCATGACAATTCTAGGTGTTCTCATAGATGCTAAGTGGCATGAATCATGCTAGGTAGAGTCATATACCTAAGTGAAATGACATGATATGCTAGATGAAGTCATGTGCTAGGTGGCATGACTAACACTAGATGATATGATATAATATGCATATGGTGATTCTAGGTGATGTCATAGGTGCTAGGTGGTATGACTCATGCTAGGTGAAGTCATATACTAGGTGGGCTTTGTAGACTAGTTACCCCCTTATGTGATATATGAATATCCAACATGAGCATATGGGGACATATGCTCAGGTAAATACATTGAATGTATGAGCGCAGAATGACACACAAGGTGTATGTAAACACAAATGCATAATGTGATATACACATGTGATGCACAATATGATGTTATATAGCAAGTGCATAAAATGTGGTGCACAAGTGACATGCAATGATATGCTAAGTACATATACACAAAGTGTTGTACACATGTGACGTGTAGATATTCGACATTAGCATATGGAGACATATGCTAATGTAGGGTCACTAAACATGTAAATGCGTACACTACTTAATATGAGCAAATGAGGACATATGCTCATGTAAGAACAATATGTATGTAAATGTGCTAGTGTACAATGTGTTGTGCATATAATACACAATCTGATGCTACATCCAAATGCACCAAATGTTGTGCACAAGTGATTGTAGATATCCAACTTGAGCATATAGAGGCACATGCTCATGTTAAGGATATTACGTAGGTAAGTGCAAGTGCACTAATTGTTGTGCACATAACACACATGATGATATGCTACATGCAAACATATAAAAAAAATTTCTTTGCAATAATTCAAAGTCATGCATGCTTATGAGAAATATGCACATACTAAATCATAAGCAAAAACATAAATGTGTTTTTCATGCAATATTTAAATGTCATACATGCATATGATATATGGATATGCTCATTCCAAAATGAAACCCTAAACCTACTTGATAGCAAATTAATCCAACTAAACGACCTCTCATGGGAATGATGAGTGTACCAACATATTATTATGCAAAATAATAATGTGTCCACTGCCTTTTGTGTGATTTAAGCATGAGGGGTTTTGACTAATAAAACTCTGATGAACTATAAACGGAAGATCAAATGGGTTCAACCATTTCCTAGGCTCAAAGGCTTCATCATACCATCAAAGAGATGGAGTTATCATAACAAATGCAAGTTTATTACAATCATTAATATATAGTTTAAGAGAGAGCTGTTTTAGAGTAAACACCATCAAAGAGATGGAGTTATCATAACAAATGCAAGTGTTTAAGAGAGAGCTGTTTTAGAGTAAACACATGAATATTTTGTGAAAAACAAGGAAAAACTCCTTAACTTATGGAGACTTCTCTAACATCAACTTAACTTAATAATTCTAACATCATCTTACATCTAAAAAATAAAGAATGTAAGAGAAAAATATCTCACCACTGTGACGTTTGTAGTAGTGTGTTCTTTGCTTGTACAAGCTCCTCCTTATACAAAGTTGTAGACTCTTCCTCAAGAAAGCTCCAAGAATACTCACTGCCTTTCTCTCAAACTCAAGAGAGAATGTAGAGCAAGAAAAAAATGAAGAGGAAGAAAAATCAAGAAGAAGAAGAGGAAGATAGTAGACTCTTCCTCAAGAAAGCTCCAAGAATACTCATTGCCTTTCTCTCAAACTCAAGAGAGGATGTAGAGCAAGAAAAACATGAAGAGGAAGATGAGGAAGATGAGGAGAAACTAGGTTTTCACTCCTCCTTTCTCTCTAAGAACTCTCGAAGGCTCCAGGAGAAACTAGGTTTTCACTCCTCCTTTCTCTCTAAGAACTCTCGAAGGCTCCTCTTCAAGCTAGGTTTTCACTCCTCCTTTCTCTCCAAAAACTCTCCAAGACTCCTCTCCAAGCTCTTCATAGAATGATATCCAAGTCCCCTCTCTTCTCAACTCCCTGGGGATTCAAAAATTGCTAAGCATCCCAATAAAGAAAGGAGCTCACCAACATTTCAATAGTTAACCCCCCTTTCCACATTTCATGCAATTGACCATATAAAACTAAGCAATCTATATGGCGTGCATGCAATTGTCCATTTTTGAGGTAGAGGGCTCAAAAGCTTTCTATTGCACCACCACACATTTTCCATAATCAATTTCAACCTCATGTGGCTTGAGTTGGTCAAAAAAGACCAAAAATATAATCAGGTTGTTTGATGGTGCGAGGGTGCCCTGAGCTGGCTACAAGACAGGTTTCTAGTGCTTAGGCATCAGTCGCTGGTGCGAGGCGCCTGAGCCTAGAGCAAGGGTGTCTGGCAAGCCATATAGTCGTGGTAGCACCCGATTCTGGAGCAGGGGCGCCCAACCAAACCTTGATTTTGGAAAATTAGGGTCCTTAAAGGGTTCTATGGATCTCTTGAACTTAGAAAAGCTATATATGAGTGAAATATAGTTCCATAACATTTAATTGGACATTGAACATGTGCAACATCCTAAATTGATGCTAATGAGTGTGTCGATCTTTGGCGCGGGTGTGCTAGCTCAGACCTTGGTTTCGTTCTAAACGCTCGCCGAAGAGTTCTATGGATGTCCTGAGTTATAGGAAGCTATGTATGAATGGAATATGTTCTCATAAAATTCAAATGGACATCATACATGTGAAACATCAAAAATGATGTTAACAAAGAAGCACCCCAACAAGCATGTTGCGCCACCAAGGAACAATGCACTTGTTGGAAGCGGACAATTTTCAATTGATTCAAAGTCTGCTAGATTACCTACATGACCTAATCAACTAAAACGATCCCCAACAAGAGCTTTCTTGGCAATCAAAGTGATCTTACCAAGTGAGGCTTTATAAATCAGTCATACCAGTTAAGTGATTTGGATATAATGGCTAAGAAATTGACTTGTTGATTTAGATGGACTAGCCATACAAGATGCCCATTTTGATAGGTATCAGCTAGTTGATTGAGGTAATTCCATCAAAATATAAGCACAATTAACCAATCGAACAAGATATTTTGGTTGAATAACAATTAACTAGACAATCGAAGTGGTGTAAACAATTGAGAATGTTAGATTAGCATGGTAATCTCTCAACCATCAAAGATGCTCTCTCACAAAGAACTGACTAAAGAGTCAATATGCTTCTTTTTGAAAGGAACACTAAAATTATTCTAAAGATTTGATCCTCCAATCATGAAGGCGAACACCATTATAACGTTGCTGGTTACTTTTATGGTTCTTATTATTGTGGTTTTATGCACGAAATAATTGTTCACAATTGATATATTAGAGAAATTTAGACTCCTAACATGTTTTCAGTATTGTTGGACCTATTTTAGCTATTCCACAACAATTATTTTAAAAACAACTAAGTATTCTTATTAATTACGTATATATGAGGGCAGAACAATCTTTTTGATCAGACGCAGCTGCAACACAACAGATTATCCAAGCAAACTTCTACTATACAACAATAAATTTCTGACATCATCTGTGAAGCTATTTCTCCAAAAAGACACTTCAAACGAAAGAGCTGTTTATAGCATAGTTTGGACGCAACTGATGTGTAGTAGTTTCTAAATCTGACAGTCATGCTCCAGTTAGAGTACAAATATAATTGATCGTTTGTTTGCTGTTACTGATTTTATTTGGCTTTATTAGAAATATCTTATATATTTATTTATACATGCTGTTTGTTATGCTGACATATTTCAAAAATTATTCCGGTATACTTGTGTATATACAAACAGCTATTCAGTTTACCTTGGAGTTTGTTTGAATACATAGGGATTGTTCATATGTAGCACACAATCCCTATGTATTTACAAATCTCACACCTATGTGAGATATGTAAATACATAAGAATAATGTGCTATGTATTTAAAGACCCCTTTGTTTTTAAACAGATTTGAATTTATTTTAAAAAGCAATAAAAACAAGTAAAAATTATTTTTAATTTTTTCAAAACATATTTACCGAGCAATGCCGATGCCTGATGCTGACCCTATACGCCGAAACCGAAGATAGACGACGATGCCGACATTGGACAACCGTTTCTTTTTTCAAGCCCATCTCAATGAGCTTTCAAGCCATATAATATTGTTTGATCTTAAATTCTCAACAAAGTCAAAATCATAACAAACAGATTTGAAGTACCTTAAAGTGAAGATTCCATTCAATTTATTTTCATTCACAAATGAATTCTGCAAAATTACCAGGCATGAGGAGCAAAGAATCATCAAACTTGCTATATAATGAAATAATAAAAAGTTTTAAATCACAGGGAAGATAAATATCTGGTGGATTTAAGGCAATGGAAACAACGGATGCATCCTGAAATAGAGTTCACTTCAGAGTTTTACCAGTAAATATATATGTTTAGGCGGTGTTTGGTAACATCCTATTTATTGAATTTAGTCATTGATTAACTTAAATCTAGCCAAACACCACAAAAATAAAAATTAAATCCACACTCCGTTAGATTCAATTTTCTCGTGTTCCGCCTTTTCTCCGTGGGTTCCATCACTTAACGACGTAAAGCTAGATTTAGTAAAGCAAAGTTGCAACCAAATACAGATTTATTTCGCCATCGATAGCGAACAAAATCGCCGCAGTGTGTATTTGATAAAACTGAATTTATTGGATTTGATATACCCTATTTAACGTAAATCAAAGTTGCAACCAAACACCGCATTAGACTGGCATAACAATCATAATATCCAAATTTATAAAGTTATCGATGTTCTACAAGTCAAATTTTTTTCTAAATGTTGAATTACTCCATGAAGATGAGTATAAGTTAATTGCATTCATAACAATGAAAATGCATGTTGGGAGAATTTTTATTAAAAAAAATACAAGAAAAAAAAAGGAAACAAAAGTAAACTGGCTAAAGGTTATCCTCATGTCAAAAAATGTTTCTTATCATAATAATCAATAGTAAGGTTTGAATAAGATTAAAAAATACGTGGGGGTGCAATTCGTGAGATCCGATTAGTTCACACCAACAATCTCCTTCCTTGGGTTAGCTAGCACCATCTTCTGAGGCTGCATCCACAAAAGACAGAATAAGAACAGAAACAGGCTAAAATACTATGCTTATGTAGGTAAATAAAATGTTTATATATATATATATATATATATATATATATATATATGTGAGAATGTGAACAAAACTTGCATATATTCTAGTCGAGAGCATCGCGTCAAATATTAATTTTTATATTAGGCTAAAAAACTATGTATATATATGTATATAAAATATTTATATATATATATATATATATATATATATATATATATATGTGAGAATGTGAACAAAACTTGCATATATTCTAGTCGAGAGCATCGCGTCAAATATTAATTTTTATATTGTGCATTTTTTTATTTTATTATTTAGCTGTTAGTTCTAATTTGAGGGCATGACAGCAATGATGGTTGAGAAAAAAAAATTATTGGCAAAAAAGGAATATATTTTTCATAAGGATGCCAAGGAGGCAACAATAGAGATGATAGCCCGGCAGCTACTGAAGAGGAAACGAAGGCTGGCAACATGACTCAAGTACTTGCATGTGGCAAAAGGATGGTATAGGCTAATGCTGGATGTGGGGAAAAAGAGAAAATAAGGGAGCCATTTTCTAGTTTGTTATGACTTTATGGATCAATTTAAGGCAATCAATCTCTTTGTCCCAAGATTCACCCGCGGAAATCCAAAAACTTAAATCCATAAAGTTTAGTGACTTTATGGTCTCCATAAACTCATAGATGAGGATAAAATAACTATTACAAATTTGGAGAAATGATATAACTAGATGGTAAAAAAAATAAGCGATTGGCGACTTGGGATAGATTTCTCAATGCTCTACCAACTCATTTTAGTTCCCATTGAAATCTCATGACATGTATGGTGAATTATTAAAGGTAGAATAAAATGACATCTGGGTAATAATTAATTATAATTGGACTCTCCAATTACATAATAACACTCAATGAGTGATTTATAGAAACTTGCTTTGAATTTAGATTGAAAAAAAAAATTTGAAGATCAACTTCGACATCTTAAGACATTGGATCAACTTATTGAACAATTGAGGCTAAAATCAATGGCTGTAAGCCTACTAGAAGAGAACATACAAACAATAGTTTTGTCCTCCCAAAATCATTTGAAGCTCTATTGACACCAATGAGACTAATAAGCTCAAAATGATAGCACCTTGTTTGTCCATAGCCATGATTGACAATAAATTTAAATGAAATAAGTTTCAAAGTAAAGATTTAGTCTTGGTAAAAATGCACCTTATAATCAAATGCATGTGCACCAAAAAATATATCCAAGCCACAAAGAATGATCTTTGAGCCCTATGGAGTGTGGAATATGTTAGAGCAATTATGTACAAGTTCAACTTGCCAAAACATCCAACCTATTTTTCATGTATCATAACTCATGCCAAATACGTCTAGGATTTCTCGCTGCACCAATTCATCTTCAAGGAACCTCTTGGGAGATTCACCAATCAGTTAAGCCAATGGCTAAACACAGGCCCTACAAAATCTCAACGGGAGGGTGTCTCGAAGTCCAACACATCATCGAATAAGAACTCCCGATCGAAAAAATTAACATGGAACACTAAAAAAGAATTGAGCACAGAATTTCCAAGGTTCAATCTTAAAAACAATGTCATTGTTTTAATGGTAAGGGGAATTGATAGAAATCTTTGCCAAAAATAAAAATAAAAAAAAGGTAACAAATGATGGATGTCAAGGAGAGAATGAAAGCCATCAACATGGTTCAACGACTACCAGAAAATAAATCAGTAGTATCAGCTACTCTTGGGTGTGAGTTCAAAGGGGAACGAAGTTCCTTTTAAATTTCTTATGAGTTGTCAAGGGGTTGCCATACGTAGCCTTGTGAGTTGCTACTGATGTGTTAAAAGATAAAAGTAAGGTATAAAGGTAGCCTTGTGGTTTTGTTGGAATTCTCGGCTTCCCCAAAGCAAACAAAAAAAAAAAGCTCAACTTTAGTTTACTTTATTTGATTAGCATAGTTTCAACGTTGATTTGATTTGGATTCAATCCAACAAAAGATTTAGAAGGCCACCTAGTTGCAAAGAATATCAAAACAGCGGACTACATTATATCTATATGGCTATTAAAGTATTGGGAGATTAGTTGATGTGTATTGGTGGTGGTTTTTTATATCAGTTCCATAAAAATTAATATAGGAAGTAAAGAGCAAGTGGAGATGCAATTATTTATAGTTGTATTATTGTATTTTGGCTAGCTAGTTAATGGCAATGGAAGTTAGGTGATTTTCTATCTCATAAACTATGGGAATTACATGGAATTGAGGTTTATGTGAACTGCCTTCTATGGGTTTATATTTAGCATACTATGCTTGCCTTGTTATAATTTTACTTGCAGTTTTGGGTTATTCAACTATCATAGGAATTTAAATTAAAGAAGGGAATGCCTTTTTATCCCTTTGAATTAATTATAATTTAAATTGAGATTGATCCTATTGTCAATCTGATCTATTAACCTACTCCTATTATGCATGACATTTCTAATTAAAGAGTCATGCAGTGTCGAGCACATATTGGACACGGACGGCTTCGACATGTGTTAGACACAACATAAAAGTGTTCGATTTAAATAATATTAAAAAAATCAACCATACAAAAGACATGCGTGTCGGACACGAGCCCTAAATTAATGAATTAAAAAACTTTTCAAAAAAAAAATTTAAGATTGAAATTAAAAGAAATATATTTTTATGTCAAATTTAAGGAAGATTTACATTCCACTAATTTTTTATGTATTTACGTATCTAATATCTAAATTTCAAGTTTCACATATATCCCACCTTATGAAAGGAGGATTTCACTTTTAAAACTTAAAATCGAGATATATTAGATATGATATGAAAGATTTGGATGGTATAAATATAAAAATAAAAAATGAGATGTTAGATATGTAAATACATAAAAATCGGTGCCGAAGAAGCCAGTGATCCATTTATTTCTTTTAATGAATAATTGATTAAATGACTAAAATATTGATGCAATATAAAATAATATATGCTTGCTTTTCATATGTCGTGAACTATATAATTATTTATGAGTATATTAAGCGTCGTTTGGGATCATTTTTATTTTTATATTTTATTTGTGTTATAATTTAAATTAAAACAAGCTTGATTGAGGTAATTATTTTTTAAAACACTCAAAATATCTTAAATTATTTTGAATATTTTTAAAAATAATTTGATTTATTTTTAAACAAATTATTTTTAAAAATAAAATATAATATATAAAAATTATTTCAACTAAAACAGAAAACAAAAGTATTGTCACAGAAAACAAAAGTATTGTCAAATAGGCTCTTAATTTTAAAAGGTTAATAATACTAAATTTCTCATTTTCGCATATATATATATCAATAAATTTATTATAATTCTATGTCTGACGTGTGTTTGTCTTAAATTTTTAATAATAGACGTATCTCGTGTTTGTGTCATGTTTATATCCCTTTGTCTGTAATCGCACAACATAGACATACGGTAATCTTATCTTCATAACTTTTTGAACTAATTATAATTTAAATTATGATTGATCCTATAAGCTTTTGGATAGATAAAACTATTATATTTGTAAAAAAAGGCTCTAATTTTAATTCGATTAGCTATTTATACTCATAGACTTTGATGTGGTAAGTCACATATGGACATTGCTAATGTTACCTTGAGTAGATTTCAGACATGATTTAGAAGTTACTCGTTTTGAGAGGTTTGATACATATGCTTTTCAAGACTACTTGGAGAATGATCATTTGAAAGCAATAAAACCTGAGGTAAAATCTAAGTTTATATGAGAATCTAATACTCTCATGAATTGAAAAAGTCTTCAAAATTTTTTAAGTTGAACAAGTATTTGAAAAAAAAAAGAATGTAGGCAAAGGGTAACATATATGTCTTAGCTGATATTGGATTAAATAAGATGGCAACTAAGGTTGTGATTTGGCCTGATCAAGCCAATCAAGTGCTATTTGATTTTAAATACATTTCTCTTGATGAACTTCCTGATGAATTACTATCACTTAATGATATACAACATACCATTGATTTAGTTGATGGATCATCATTGTCACATTTACCTAATTATAAATGAATCTATTAGAGCATATCGAATTAACAGAAGTAGATAAGTTACTTAATAAACAAATATTAGAAAAAAAAGCCATTATGTTCTACCCACTTTTCTTGCACCTAAGAAGGACATATAATAAAGAAATTAATAAAATCATTATCAAATAAAGATTTATTATTCCTTTTTAAATGAAGTTGGATATAATGAAGGGAAGTATGATATTATTTTTAATTTATTATGAGTGGATATCATCAAGCTCGAATGAGGAAAGATCATGAGTGAAATTATCCTTCAACATTAAATAATGATTATACTAATAGTTAGTGATGCCTTCGGAGTTAACAGATGAGCCTAGTATTTTCATATAGATAATAAAGTATGTCTTGTGAAACTGTATCAGAATTTTTTTTTATTATATATTTTTTTATGATATTTAACTTATGGCAAGGCATGAGATGATCATTTAGTGCATCTCTAAAAAGTACTTTAAATTTATAAGCTAAAATATAATATGCGAATCTAAGGAAATATGATTTTGATAGGATCCGAGATGATTTTTTTATATAGAAATTAAAGCAAGACAAATTTCTTTCTTCAATAACACAAATAACATTACATCTAGAGAATAAACACCTACAATTCAAGAGATAGGTGATCTCTCCCAAATCCTACAATTCGAGAGCTAGGAAATCTCTCCAAAACCCTAATCCTAAAATACAAGACTCAAATCTCATGCATAACCCTAACTCTAAACATATTAGCCCTATTTATGCTAACAACAATACTAATAAAAGACTAAATTTCTCCTAGACTAATAAAAGATAAAATTGCCCTTAGGTAGGATCTGAGACCATTTTTCCACACAAAAATTAAGGCAGAAAAAATTTCTTTCTTCAACAACAC